AGCAGGCTGCATTGTTAAGACATATTTTATCCACCACATGGATTGCAGAATCTTACTTTCAAAAGCGATTTTAATTCATTCAAGTGTAAAAATAATTCTACATAACAAAGCAAATGTTAAGATGTACATTTTTTTCAATCACCACAAGTGTCTGCATGTAAACAGACAGGGGAGTTTCAGAATTAGTTACTGTTCTTTGTTTTACTTTGATTTGGGGAATTCATTTTGGGACAATAGATAACATAATGTTTATGAATAACATTATTATGTTCGTATTAAATAATCTAGTGAATATGCATGCAAACAAATCTTAAATGTTAAATCTTGAAAAGTACATTATATTATTCCACAGACCACGAATCTCCCACAACTCAGCTACTAATCAGAATTAATTTGAAGTGTTTAAGACTTAATGGTATATTTAAATTGAAATTGACTCACTTGTGCCTCAGGTAATAATCAGGTGGCGTGAGCAGAGCCTGCGAATTTAGCTTGCCAGGAATTTTCAGGGACAACAAGACATTCTCAAAACCATTTCACACGAAGTGACTTATGTCTTGTGATTGGGAGTCGTGCGGTCCTTGTGACTTCTTAATGCTAAGCTGACTGGTAGCACGGGGTCACACACTACATGATGTTTCACCAGGAGAAACCCTCGACCGGTCCCCAAACTCTGTTACCCTGTCCCTCACACACATGCTATCCCAGATTACAGGCATGTGCAGGGGCCACCTCACCACGACATTTCGAAGAGAAAGCTCACATCCAAACACATAGTGCCTCTCAAACCCACTGCAAGGTGTTTCAAGAGACACCACTGTTTTATATTAGTCACTGAAATAATCAGCATGTCTCACATTAGACCACATTTCAATTTTCCTATCAGACAAAACAACTTGTTAAACAGCTATGGCTGCTAACCACTGTTATGATGAGATCAGGCGTATCAGAGTTGTGTCACTTGAGTAGCGTTCACTCTTTCTTCAGCTGAATTACAGAATTTCAGACCCTGCCAAAGTTTGCACTAACTCTGTAGCAGACCCTGACCTCTGACCTATTACAGGGTGGGTGAATTAAGCATGATTTCCCCTACAGGGGTTAATTGAACATTAACAGTATTGTTGAAATCTATGGAGTTAACATGGATCAGGGTTTGTCCAGACAGCACAGTGTGAACTTTTTGCTTGGAAGTTTCATGAAACTTTGTGAGTTTGAATTAATTATGAGTTTAAGCAAAAGTAAAAAAAATATTAAAACTTTTGGTTTTCGTGAAGGATCTCCCAGTCTAGTAAAAATGTGTCTGGGTTATTGTGATATACTGTAGACAGAGAAAAGTACATGATTTAAGAGACATGCACACTTTTCACATGGTAAAAAAAAACAAATATGGATTTATTTCAAATGTGTTTTAATCAATATGTACTTGTCTAAGATTGAACACATTTTAACTAACTATTTAAGCTTTTTGCATATTTGGTTGACATTAAAAAGTTTGAGAGCCATGCATGATAATAATCTAAGATGATGTGAGGGAAGTGTGCATACAGCCAAAAACACACAGCATCTGATTCTACAGACGTCAGTTTATCGTCAGTGCAATCTAAGGAGATGATCTGTAACAGAGCCTGAAAATGAAAGTGACCTTAATATTATCTCCTCTATAGAGGCAAAAACAATGATGGTCTATGAAACACAATGGAAAATACACTTGCATGAATGCTCTGACCTGCTGTTACAGTCACTGGGTTATATCCTCTGGATGCTGTTATATGTACCAAACATAATGGGAAAGCAGAGCGATTTCAGAGTGTAAAACCTACATCTGCCATTACCACTGGGCTTATATTCCATGAAGAAATTCCTGGATGTTTATTGTTTACTTGCACACATTCTAGGGACTATTTTATCTGATACGGCTCAAACCACATCCACCACCCTGGGGTGCCTGTCTCCTTCACCAAACTTGACTCGCCGTCCTTCGTATATAAAGCCAGTTTGGCAGATAGTTTAATTAAAGCTGTCGATTAATTTACACTCGTCAACAGCTAAACAACCCTGCAGTAGTGGCAGCAACATACTCGTGGCTTTAAATCACTGTTCATACATAAATACAGTGATCTGGTTAGAGTCTGAATGTGAAGATAATTAAAACACCCTGCATACACAGTGCTTCACAAAAACAACATCCAAATGACAGTGACTGTTATGATCCTGGGAATTGTGGTAAATTATGACATGAATAATGACACCATTGTCAGTTATACTACATTGACAGTCAAGTTTATTCTCAGCTCCTCATTTGCATGTATAAATTATATTTGAAAGAATTTTGCTCTACAATAGAAAAACATGGTAAACTTTGATGAATACTTTGTTTTTTCAGATAGAATGTCAGCTGAGTGACTAGACTCACACCAAAAATGTCTGATTAATCACTGCGAATGATGGCATGACATATTTCCAGGTTAAATATATGAATTTACACTTGAAGTATGACCAGCCACACTCCAAAATAAGGTTTTCATACACAAATATTGATGAAGACATTTCCACAGCTTTCTTAAAGGAGTTTAGAGATAAAAGTAGAAAGAGCAAGTCCTGAAACAATGGAAATTAAAAGCTCTCTTATTATGCATACATGTACCTAAGAAAAGAGCTGAATCCTTGTTTATTCCATAAAGATTGAAAACTGGTCTAAAGTAATAGGTTGCCCTTAGAAGTGGTGATAAGTGAGTGGATTTTATTCACAAGCAAACTGTTGTCTTTATTTAGCATCAGAGGTGTATTCAAGATTCTAATTCTTTATTTAGCATCAAAGGTGTATTCAACATTCTACTCCGTCATTCATCCAATTTAAATAAAGAAAAGCGCTCAGTGTTGTGTGCAGCACAAGAAACAAGGAAATGTGAGAAAAGAGAGTTGTTGCAGCTAAAGAAGAAAATAGTTGCCAGGCATCGCCAAGATGAAGGCAACAATACCCTCATGGAGCAACTATATTTTCATGTGACTACAGCTATTTTTATTATTGAGACGTTCAAGGTCCACATGACAGAGTCATACTTGAGAAAAGGGACAGACAGAATGGTAGAAAAAGAACCAAGGTGACCTCCAAGTTCAAGGTACAACAGTGTCTATCATCATTCTGTGCTTTCTGAATCAAAGTGGGCTGATCGAGGAACCACAAGCCACCGTGCTTCTGGGAGAATGTTGTTCGGACCAATGAAAATAAAGTCACATCAGTCTTCACATAAACAATTTAGCTCTGAAAGAAGAGAGGAGTCCACTAAGAAACATGCTATGTTAAAGGAAAGCTTTGCTGCACATGGCACAGGGAGCCTTACATCTGTGCAGCGCCGCAATGAAATCAGAAGAAAAATGTTCTGAAGGAAATCATATTGGCCACCATTAGAGATGTCTGTCTTCACTAAGAGGAGTATGATGCATAACGTACATTTAAAAGCGAACAAGAGTGGATGAGAGGAGAACATCAGACGGTTCTTAAAGGTCCAGAGTGTAAGATTTAGGTGAAAAGGATCTATTGGCACAAATTGAATATAAAATAATCCAAATTATGTTTTCACTAGTGTGTTTCACCTAAATTGTACAAATGGTTGTCTTCTTTACCCTACAAGGGGCCCTGTATATTTATATACTTGATATTTACATGGAGGGGACTCTCTCTACGGATGCTGCCATGTTTTTTTTACATTAGTCTAGACTGAAAAAACTAAACACCTTTTGAGTTGTTATGACAACTGAAGCTGCCACAGGTTCTTTTTCATATTTGGAAGGGGAGGGTGAGTCGAGGGGTGTTCAGCTGCAACATGCAATTTCACCATTAGATGTCACTAAATTCTACACCCTGTACCTTTAAGTGGCCTGATATGCGTCCTGATATTAATGCAGAAGACGCCATCAAACCTGCATAGAACTTTTACCCAGGAAAATGGACCAATGCAGAGTACACAACTTTGTGAGTAAAGAATTCCCACAATGCTCACATACAAAGTGCAATATTCTGCAAACCGTGTAGAACATTTAATCCAGAGAAACACAGCAAAAGATTTGACACAATTGCTCTTGTAATTATCTTGAATCTAGAAGCTGATCAGGCATTACAAGCTCCCAAAAGTACCTGATTGTGGTTAATGTTCGGAAAATGAAATGGAAGGTAATGCCAGGTATATAAAACATGATAGATAGAATAGTAAATGCCAATTAATTTTGTCAGATTCAACATATGTTACAGACAATTTTGCTTTTTATTTAATTTAATATATTTTTAAAATAATAAATTGAGAGTAGAAGAAAGAAAAAAGATATTTTAGGACTTCCAGGCTTTGTACGAGTATTAATAACAATATTAGATGGTCTTTGGCCTTACAACACTGTAAGTAGCCCTCTCTAATGAAGAGAGAGGTTGAGCTGTTGGTCAAAGCTGAGTTGTAACCGGCAGTGACCCCATGTCTACACTAGCCAGTCTCTCTCTTCAGCGAAGCACTCAAAGCCTGCAGACATGAGCCTCTGTGCCCTGCTTCTCCACGAGGACACTATTACTACTCCACACATCTTTTTATCCACAGCATCTTAACATACGGTATCCCCCCATGGACCTGCTCTAACATAGTCAATGAAGAACACACTCCCCTCCCCCCTCTTTGAGCAAGGCATTTACCCTCTAATTGCTCCAGTGGAGCAATGAATGAAGAAATGAGATTCCAGAAAGAATGTCTTTCCTCTCGAGTTTGTTCACTTATGCCCTCATGTGCTGGTGCTCAGGAACAACACAGCCATCAATCATGCAGTGGAAATCAGCGTGATATAAAACCATACTCTATATAATATACATGGGCATAAATAGATCACTACCTCAGTGTGATCAGAGGATGTTATATTAGACACAGGCCAAACTGACACTGAAGAAAAATAAATCTTTTTCAAATGTATTACAACTGGTATTTGGGATCTTAGCAGCAGAAGAAGAGAAGCATATGAGTTACCTTGGACGAGGACATGCACTGAGGTGGTTCTTGGTCGACTGCTTGTCTGGACTGCGCACACATACTGCCCCTCATCCGTCATATCCACGTTTTCAATCTTGATGGTAAACTCCTCTTGATTAAGGTTCACCAGACTCACTCGGGGATCCACAGACCATTTGTCTTCCCCGGCGTACAGTATACTTGACCGGTTAAGCCACGCTGTGTGTGTGACAACGTCCCCCTGTGCACACCTGTGAAGGAATGAGAATAATGTTGAAAGCCTTTTTTTTAACGTAGTTATTTCAAAACTACACGAGGTACATATAGACGTGACAGAAATGCACATTATGTGTTTGATATGGTGTATAGAAACGAAGCAGATTCAAATGCCATGTTTTTTAACATAATAATTACTATTCATCCTCCATTACATATGCACACTTTATCAGCCAGTTTATTAGGAACACCTAGCTGAACATAATGCAGTCCAATACAGCAGTCCTGCAGTGAATCATCCTTCATGGAGGATGTGATGTTCTGTTCTCAGATTGTTGTTGACTCAATGCATGTTCATTTCAGGGGCTGAGGCTTCTGATGCAGTAAAACCTTATTGTGTTATATAGACAGGTGTTTCTTTTATTCAGTCCAGCTCATTAATGTGGTGGGGGTGGTTTAAATAGCACTAAAGTGTTCCTATTAAAGTGACAGCTGGGTGGACACAAGGGCTCTTCATTATTCATCGCATACTCCTGAGTGATTTATTTCTTTTCTGTCTGGCGGGGGTGGACACTCATCCCACTGAGGAGCAAAGCTTCAACCAGAGAGGAGAAACTAATTAGTGGAACCAGTGGATGAAGTGTTGGGTTTTTCACTGCACATGATTTCCGCCGCTGCTCTTAAACCTCACCCATACTTTAAAAGGCCAAAAGTGTGATGGGGGACAGTGTAGAGAATTGGCCCTGGGTCGTTTTCAGCTCCCACAGCCGTGGGACATTATCAGCTACCTCACCATCATGCATCCTTTACTTTTTTTCAGACCACTTTATCTTACTGGCAGCATAACAGTAGATCTATGTGGGTTTTTTTTTTTTTTTTTTATAGAAAGGAGCAACATTTAATGCATATTATGTTATAAAGCATTAAAAAGGGATTACTAATGGCATTTGAGCTATTATCAGTCGTTAACATCTTGCATGACATGTTGACAATGTTTCGGTGAGGACAATAAACAGTTACACTCAACAGTTGTGGCTCTCGATCAGTCATCAGTTTTTTTTTTTTTTATTCATCTGCCCGTACACATGTTCCAAACTAACTGAGACAATGAGCTGAAACTGTGCCCGCCATGCTCTGCTGCAATTACAACATATTGGTTTCTGCAGCCGCAAACTGCAGCTCTGATACAAGAGCTAGGTCACAGATCTTTGACTGATTCCACAGAGCAACACAGCTGCTATATGTTATTTTCACAAAAAATCTTTGGATTCCACTGAGAATATACCACCAGAGCAGCATGCGGGGGAAAAAAAAAAAACATATAAATAAAATATCATACATAAAAAGCATAACTTATAAATGAGTGTGCCAGTAGAGGAAGAAATTGAAACTTGTACTTTTTAGCTGGCAAATGGTGTTTATCATCTGGGTTTATTTAACCTTTGGTGGCTAATCTTCCAGCGTGCAGGAGCACACAAGATTTCTACATTTAAAACAGTTTAGAGTGGTGGCAATGTAAGATCAAGGCTCTGGAGCTGAAAGACTCTCAGCTCCATTTACACTGTCACAGTTTTTGTTACAGCATCAGTCACTTCCACTTCAGCAGCTGCAGTAGGGTCAGTGGCATCCTTGGGGCCCTTGTGGTGCTATGACAGAAACTGTGTGTGTGTTATCAGTACACAGGGGCAATGGCTTTCAAATCAAATGGATCGCGGCATTTGCAATATGGTAAGGTTATCAATTTTCTATGATAAAATCAATTCAAAGTGGAGTTTTCACTTCTAATGGCTACAGTAAATTAATTTCTGACCGGTAAATGTATTTAGCCACACTTCTAAATGTTAACCTTTATACACAACACCAACAACAGCAGGGGTGATCTCCCTGTAACTTTGCTTTAAAATGAAAATTATACCTCTGATATGTCTGAAAGACTTGATTAGTAATAATTTCGAGGTCACCCGCGGACTTTTAAGGACAAATGCCTGCATATAAAGACTGAAGGATGAAACATTTCTTGGAGGAGATCCAACAAACAGGCTCTTTGGTGAGTGGCACATCCACTCTGTCAGCCTCTGTGTCCTTGTTAGCCCATTACCTGAAAAGACCTGTTCTCATAAATACATAAAGGGAAACTGTTGCCTGTGCTGAAACACAGGAAAAAGGATCCTATTATACACAGCAACTCAAGTTCAAAGCACAACAAGGAAGGTATATAATACAGCAACAAATTCAGGTTTCCTTAAATCCTGAAATGTATTAATTTAGAGTTATTATTAAAATGGAAGCGTGACATTGTAAGATCTAGCTTAACAGAACACAGCCACACTATACACACCTAGAAAAGAAAACTGTTAACCAGCTTTAAAAAACATCAATTGTTAAATGAATGTTTTATCCTCAATTAATTGTGTGAATATAACTTGAAAACTCCAATTGGAACAAACTTAATTAATTGGTGATAGCAATTTGAGTTTTTAACCATTTTTTTCCAGTGCAGTGCAAAATCTACCACGGGGAAAATGATATGAACGGTTTATAACATCCCTCAGGTAGTTATGAGCGCATGGACCATACTTAGGATAATCCTGATGACCCACTGAAAATACAGCTTCTCATGAAATGATCCCTCCTGTAGTTCTAACCTGAGTAGACCCTGGCATTGTTAAGCAGAGTGCATTTTATAATTACAATTTATTACGAGTTAAACCGTTTTCATTTTCTTACAGGCGCAGCACAATAAATTAAGTCCATGCAACTTTTCTTTAACGAGTTTCCGTCCACTTTATTTAAATGGAATATACTAAAATACACCCGGTGCTCATGTTGTTAAAAACACACAAACAGTTTACTTTGACTCACCATTATGTTTAGAGGCTATGCTCTTTTATTCAGTCAGTCCGACCTATCATATATATTTTTACAATGTGGTGAGATGTGCCTTTGAGAGGTTTTACACCTGCAGTGATGTGGAAGTGCACTGCGACACCACAGTCGACCGTGGTTTCCCCCACAGAGCCCAGTGAGACACAGGTTCCCATTTTGGATTCTTCCACAGCCACAAACTCAGGATTTCAGCTGTCTCTCTGCAGCTGACAGACTGTGAGCACTTTACTGCTTGAATGCTTTAATGGACTGTGTAGGCCATGGGGTTTCGTTACTTTATGGACATGTTTCATGATGTAACATATGGCCATTTCATTTATTGCATTTACTTATCATTCATTATTCATGGAAAACACTGCTGTTTAAGTGAAGAGGCCCGGGTTCATGTGAAGTTCATCATGTTGGTTAGTGCTACTCTGTAAAAAAACTGTTGCATAATGTCTATTGTGGAGCAGGAATGACTTTTATGTATTCTGTTCACTAATATATAAAAGGTGGAAAATACGTTTTCTATCGTTAAAAAAACGCATCCACCTCCAAATGTGAATAGACAATGACCTTCACTCCCAGTCTCAGAGAAACTAAACAAGTTTAAAGTGAGCTGTGTTTTGAAATAAACAGACAATTGCTTTGGTGCTATGTGAAAAAAAAAAGATTCAGTTCATATGTCAGTTCTAGCTTATCAAACATTTACTCACATCACGTCGACATTTAAACTTACAGTATAAATGAATTATAT